ACCTCAACGGCTATATAAGCACCCACTGAGCATGGTCTTATTCATTCCACATGATGCTGCAATAGCAGCTGGAGAGCAATAGAGGGAATAGGATAAGATGGAGAAGGGCGAGGGGAGCTAACCGCCAAAAGACCTGAGGTCCAATTAATATCATTCTAAGGTCATGTCACGATTACGGTAATGCCTTCTACTATATAAGACACTTTTTTGTGCATGCGTGCCACCTCCACGAGGTGTCCATGTCACCAGTGGATGGGAGCACATTGGAAGGAGTAAAGCTTACGCAGGTAAGGAGGTCCCGGTGGTTGCCGGGGGACCAATCTGGTAATTAGAATTTGGCGAATTATAATGGCACCTTTATTGCTTTGATTTTGAATTTCAAACAACACAGAATAATGTTGCATATGATTCAACTCCAAGTGAGTCCAGATCATTGTCTTCATACTTGTAGCCCAACTCTGCTTTGACCGTCGGTCTCCACGGACAAGCTCATTTTTTTCGCGTTGAACATTTGCACACCGAGATCGTTTGCCAACTTCTCCTAGAGAAAATTGAGAATAAAAATTTTCCCAAAAGTCTACTTAGGCAAAAGTTCGTAGTAAATGGAAAAAAGAACAGACCAAATGTTCAAGTTGACTTTTCTTGTAGACGATTCCATCGAGTTCGTCGCACATATACATGTGAGCTCGTTCAGGATCGCCTGCTACCTGCACGGGATAAGACGGATCAACCTGAAACAATGATATTCGTAGTTGTTAGTTGGTTACTCTCTTCACAAAAAGAACTAGTTCAGGGAACATTCCGCGATCACCTGGGTCTAGAGATTACTGTGGGAAATGAAAACTGGTAGAAGAAGTGGACCTACTGTGAGGGAGAAGAAAGAAAAACACTCTGTCAAATAATGGAAATGAGGGTCTCCATTTTTTTCTGGCCGCTGATATAATTCGCAGGACACTAGGCCCCGAAGCGAGAAAGCAGGCGAGAAAGTGTGGGAAACAAGCGAAACGCAGACTCTAGCACATTCTCGGCAGCAGGGTGAATAACGGTCGAGGAATTTCCTCGACCATGGCTCTCTACTGTGCGAGAGTAGTGTCGAGAGTGAATGAATGCGCGGAGAGCACAGACGGCTCGCGGGTGGCGAGAGTGAGCATCGTGGGAGAGCGTGAAAGAAATCCTCGACGAGCCGTTGTCGTTTCCTCAAGCGATTTTCACCCTGCTCGGCAGTGAGCGCCGGTAGATGATGAGGTGAGGTATGGTACAGAAACCCCTAGAGCCCTTACCTCGAGTTTCGGGCTGGTATAATTGCAGTATTTTCACGGTAAGGGACCTGGTCATTGCACGTCATTCACCGGAAAGATTATTCAAATAAATTGTACTTCTGAATAAAATTCCAATATTTGGTCATGCCCCATGAATGAACGCTGTCTGCTGGCTTTTTCACAGTTCCAAATCGATGCTACCAGTCTTCATCTTTACGAATGGTCTCTAACGCTCTGTTTCGTGTGTTGACAAAATCGATTCAACATAGAACGGCTACGATTTTTAGAGTGTATCCTAAATAGCCTTATCAAACCTAATAACCTAATTCAAAATAGTAATGCTCTGGAATGCATACCGGTTTGAGATCCCTTGTCTCATCCAGAAAACAACTGAGCCGTTCACTGAATCCCGGCGCAAAGCATTCTGGATCAATTGCGACGAAGCATTGTCCCTACAGGCAAAATCATTTTTAACTTATGAACGGTAGAGTGACAGCTTCTCAAAGCCGGTCTTCTCCTTACCAAATTGGCTGTCTCTTCAGTTGTCTGCCATTTTCGAATCGATTTTCCGAACGATGATCCAGCCATGATGCCACACAGCACTTCCACCATCATGCAGAGACCAGTGCCTTTATAGCCACCTAAACATATTAACGATTACGATCATGGTCTCTTTATTGACTGACGCGCTGCGACCCGTCCGCTGATACGGCCTTCTTGCCGCGCGACGGGCCTCCTGTCAGGTACCCCCATTTGTCGGGGGACGTAGTCAAAGGAATGGTGTACGGAAACCATATGACTTTATGTCCGCTACAAATCGATGGCCCTGCCCTCATGGAATGAGCAAAAAATGCATTGATAGGCAGTCCGAGATGCTGAGAGTGCTGACATTCGCTCAGCTTCCCGTTGTAGAACTGTCACATAACATAGCGTCAGTTCCACGCCTGGAATTTTGGGGCAAACTTTGGGATGAGGGTGGCTAGCAGAACCCATGCCGCGAGCAATCTTGTTGAATCCGTGCCTAGTGAGATCGTATCACCTTCGTCACGAAAAGTACGCGGTTAAGACGCTAAGCGTTGAGGGCTTGCATCCATCGCAAAGCTCCCTCCCACCGCGATTGATAGAGAGATCAGCGTGCTCTCATACGGCGTGATCTCTCGCGTGTTTGTTGATCTGTTTCTTCGTCGTACCATATCCTACCCTGTTTAGTTTTTCGAAGTTAAGTTCTCAATTTTAGCGTATTCGATGATTCGCGTGCTTTCTCCCTTTCTTACTTCACTTTACTTCGCAGCTCACCGTGAAGCGCCCTTATACAGCAGTTGAAGCTCGGGTTTGCCTTTAGACAAACAGTAGATTTTTGCGGTTGAGAAGGGTGGGCAAGAAGCAGTGCGAAAGAACGTGGATTTTTCCTTTTTTCCTTTTTTAATGTCTAAATGCTTTGTCGAAGTTGAAATACCCTCCCCTTCAAAAAGCGAGAAAGTGTCGGGTGCAGACCAAACACCACAACTGACGACGGCCTCCAAGTAAATCTGGTTAGTAGTGGTTCATAGTGATAGCTGATTTTGGTAAATGATAGTTGTAATTAGTGACAACTGATAGAATACAACTGCAACAGGCTAATCATTTCATTGGCAGAAAACATTTACATTTTGTGGAGGCCGTCGTCACTTGTGGTGTATGGTCTGCACCCGACACTTTCTCGCTTTTTGAAGGGGAGGGTAATTGTTGTCGTGTTCACCTACCGCTGGCTTCCGATCCGCCCAATGGCTGTAGTCCTCCACCATTGAGCACTTCTTTCGGATCCTGAGTTTCGATGCCGTCGGCATCCGCTCCCCATCCACGCGGAATTCGTTTGCCACCACGACGGTCCACCACTTCTATCTGAACATATAACATATAGATCGGCTCAAAAACAAAACAAAAAGAAAGGTGTTATTCTTCTGCCAGCAAGGTTTTCAGGTGAAGACATTTTGCAAGGTTTTCAGGTGAAGACATTTT